AAGTTGTGTATTGACATATGTAATTTACCAAGGTTTTTGTAAATACAAAATTATATCAAGAATGATTTTAAAGCTAACAAAACTATGTTAACGTATGTATTTTTTCTCTAAAGTCTAAATGAACCCATCCTCCACAAAATCTTCACTACGACCCCTGAGTACTAGTAAAGTAAAATTAGAGCACAAGATACTATATAAGTCAATCAAATGTGCATAATTCTATTTTTCCGTGTCCAATTCACTAACAGAGAAACGAAAAAGCCAACTCAGCTTTGTTCGGCCTGAAAGAACCCCAGTTCGCTGACGCCAACCCTTTCACTCCGGCCGGCATTCTTTCCGCTGAATGCCTTCAGCTCGGCGAGTCGATTATAGGGTACAGCGACGGCCGTATCGGAGAGTCTATGTGGTATGTAGGCTATAGCTAAGCTAATGTTTGGGCTTCGACGATGAATCTTTGAGGGAAGATGAAGAGTGGAACGCGTTTTGGGAGAAAGGAATCTGGCGTGTTTTTGCGTATAAATCTTCTTTTTTTTTTGTAGAAAGACAGACACCAATGGTGTCTAAATGATATTCCTAATTAAACGTTCTTGGGTAATACCCAATACATCAAAAGAAATCCAGTGACTAAGTCCTGGATCGAACACATCAATAGGATGTGATCCAAAAGGAAGGGAGTGACCCAAATTAGCTAAGAAATCAGCAGCACAGTTGCACTCCCTATACACATGTTTGATTTGAACCTCCCAATTCAATGAGAGCAATCTATTAATTTCCATCGCAAGCAGGCCATATCTATGGTCGACCTCCTCCTTCTTCAAAATGATACTGATCGCTGTTAGGGAGTCGAGGCAGAGCACCACTTTCTTGAAGCCTCTTCTCCACGCAATAGCAAGCCCCGTTTCGGCAGCCTTAAGCTCTGCTCTTGTGATTGAGCAATTTCCCATATTGATGGCGAAAGCCTCCTGACACCGTCCAAGGGTGTCACGGATTAGTCCACCACCAGCAGCCTTCTCGTTTCCTGCACAAACTGAGCCATCAGTATTGATCATCATCCATCCCTCATCAGGTGGACTCCAGGACAGATGATTCAACACCCTCTCACAAGGGTTTTCAGTAGAGATCCTGCTGTCAAACATCCTGGTTTTCCTCAAAATACAGAAGTACGAGAGGATTCTTGAGAGGAGGGATTGCTCGCAGTATTTCTTTCCATCCAGCGCCTCTTCGTTCCTTTGCTTCCAAATATGCCAGAGAATGATCCCAAAGTCGATTCCCTTCTCATCATTCCTCATGTTGGTTCCAATCCATTCGTTGAATGTCAGCGTATGGTCCCGTGTCGTGATTGAGTGGCGAAGCCGATTCCAGAGAGTCTCTGTTTTTTGCATCTTCTCAGTATGTGCTCTGTGGTTTCTTCTTCTCCGTTGCAGTCTGGGTTCGGGCATCTTCCATCGTTCGTTAGCTTCCTTTTAACTCTTTCATGGTTGGTCAGGAGCTTTTCCTGCTTGGCAAGCCAAAGGAAATGCTTGATTCTATTAGGGCCCTTCCACTGCCAAAAGTCCTTCCATTCGCCATCTTGGGAGCACTCCATCTCCTCCGCAACCAATTGGTAAGCAGACTTAAGTCTAAACCTGCCATCAGTTTCAAGGCCCCAAATGGTCTTATCCTCGCCAAGATCCTGCTTCGGTGTTTCAGTACCTGCAATGAGGGAGAGAACCTCATTAGGTAATTTACAATTCAGTTTGTCCCAATTCCAGTTTCCAGAGTCAGTGATAAAACAACACACAGGTTCATCCCTTTCTTCATCATCAATGTCAGTGAGTAGGAAGTCTTCAAGAACAATCCCCGCATCAATCCAGGCATGAGTCCAGAACGCAGTAGACTTCCCATCTCTGATACTTGAGCAGGTTGCTGATTTCATAAGGGGCATAGCTTTCAGGATTCCTTTCCACAGCGAGGAATGGCAGCTCTTCTTCATGGAGACGATGTTGCCCTCTTTATGGTGGAAATATTTTCCTTGGAGCACCTGCACCCACAGGGATTTTTCATTAGTGAGCATCTGCCAAGCAAGTTTTATCAAAAAGGCCCTATTGATGCACCTAGCAGATCGAAGGCCAAGCCCCCCTTGTTTTTTAGGTTTACAAATTTTATCCCAAGAAACAAGGTGGACTTTTTTCTGTCCCTCCTTAGTACCCCACACAAAATTTCTGACTTTTTTATCAATCTCATCACAAACAGACATGGGGAGAACAGAGGTTTGCATAGCATACACCGGGAGAGCATTAAGCACAGCAGTGGCAAGGGTAACCCTTCCAGCAAGGGAGAGGGTCCTAGCTTTCCAAGCATTCAGTTTTTTATCAATGGCCTCAAGGATGTATTTATAAGTGTTTCTATTAACTCTTCCATGCAGAACAGGGACACCAAGATACTTCCCAGGGTCATTAGTACTTTGGATTCCAAGTCTATTACAAATAGAGACTTTTTCCAGTTTTCTAACATTCTTAGAAAAGAAAGCACGAGACTTGTCCTTACTAATGAGTTCACCCGAGGCTTTACAGAAATTCTCAAAGCATCTCATCACAATATCAGCCTGTTTAAGGTTGGCTTCCGCAAAGATAACAAGATCATCGACAAAAAACAAATGAGACAGGTCAGGACCATTCCTAGACAGTCTAATGGGTTTCCATTTACCATCCCTAACGTCTCTGCTAATGCAATGTCCTAAACGTTCAATGCATAAAGTAAAGAGGTAGGGTGAGAGGGGACATCCCTGTCTAAGTCCTCTGCTTGGTGTGAAAGGATCAGTCTCCCCACCATTCCAGAGTACTTGGAGCTCAGTGGTAGTAACACAGGCCATGATAATGTTGACTCCACCTTCAGGGATTCCCACTGCCTCGAGAGTTTCCTTAAGGAAAGTCCAGTCCAGCCTATCGTAGGCTTTGGCGAGGTCAATTTTAAGGAGCATCTGGCCTTTCTTTCCAGTTTTCCTTGCCATTGAGTGGACTGTCTCCTGCAAAAGAATGATATTATCAGTGATGTTTCTCCGAGGAACAAAGCTAGACTGATTAGGCATAATAAGTGAGTTCATGAGAGGCTTAATCCTTTCAGCAAGACACTTGGCCACGATCTTGTAGTTGACGTTGCAAAGACTGATAGGCCGGAAATGGCTCATAGAGCTAGGGGCTTCAACTTTGGGAATCAGCGACAGAAGAGTGCCATTAATGCTTCTGATCTTTTCAGGGTTCATGAAGCAAGAGCACACAAAACGGAAGAGATCTTCTCCCACCACATCCCAGCACTTCTGGTAAAAGAGAGCATGATACCCATCTTTTCCAGGAGCTGCAAGGCCTTTCATCCCATCACGATGGTTTTGATCTCCAACAGATGGGGCAACCGACCAATGCCATTGAGAGTCACCCTATCAGTTTCAGGAAAATCAGCAGCCACATCCAGACTCTCCTCTTGAGTATCTCTCAAGAATAGGCTGATGAAGAAGTCTCTGGCCATACCCTGGATGGATTCAGGATCTGTAATCCATTGTCCAAGGTCATTCTTCAAGCTTTTGATCTTATTCCTTGTTCTTCTAGTGAGGGTGCTTGTGTGAAAAAATCGAGTGTTTTGGTCTCCTTGTTCCAGAGACTTTACTCGTGACTTTTGAAACCACAACAACTCTTCTTGCCAAAGCGTTTCTTCAAGTTTCTCACGGGTAGCTTGTTCCGCTTGAAGAGAGAATTCAGAAGGTTGCTTCCCATTTCTCCATTCCAGCTCTTCTTGCCAAAGCGTATAAATCTTCTGTACACACACATTACGTACTATTTAACTCACCTTGGAAAAGACCAACAAGGTCCCATATACCTCACAACGCAGGAACATCAATTGACCAAAACTTAAAAAGCATGCAAAACTAATTTTCAAGACACTTTCGTCATTTTAACCCTCACAAATTCCGCCCTCCCTTTTCAGTTTTTACATTATGAAGCGGCACAAAAAATCGTGTCGATCAAGTCAACGTATGGATGAACATGGCGAAAGAAAAGGAGAACTACCAAGAAAACCATTTCCTAGCTTCGTATGTAATGTACTGAACCAAACAGTTTCATTAATCGAAAAGGGTCAGAAAACCATTTCCTAGCTTCGTATGTAATGTACTGAACCAAACAGTTCCATTAATCGAAAAGGGTCAGAAAACCATTTCCTAGCTTCGTATGTAATGTACTGAACCAAACAGTTCCATTAATTGAAAAAGGTCTCTACTCTCCAGTTATTAACTCCACATGTGATTAGATACATTGAATAGTTTAATCTGCTGAGCAGATTAAGAGACTACTACCGGTGTTTTATTTCCAGGTTTGGATTGAACATGGCGAAAGAAAAGGAACACCAAAAAGAACACCATATACTAGCTTCTTATGTAATATACTGAACCAAGCAGTTCCTGTAATCGAAAAGGATCTCCGCTCTCATGTTGTTAAAACTCTAGAGGTGATTAGATACATTGACTAGTTGAATCCAATAGAAGCCTAGCAGTTTGATTCAGGCACCAACTCAGAACAGAGGCTGAAATGAACAACATAAGGGATAGAGATCGAAAGGATCCGGAAAAAGAAAAAAATTTGGACCATTTCTCGATTTATGCGTGTCATCCTTGCGCAGGGGCCATGCTAATCTTCTCTGTATCGTTCCAATTTTATCGGATGTCCCCGAAGGGACAATGTTGTTTGTTTCACATGGCTTTATTAATGTTGGGTTCTTACTGAAGACAAGGGATGTGGTACATTGTAAAATGAAGGAGGCTTCTATGGCTCTATGCTATCTCCCTCCTGGTATATCTTGATAACGATAGTTCAAACAAGGAAAAAAGAACTGATAAAAAGCAAGTCTAACTAACAAACTAAACGCGCATAAGAACAAGAATGCCCAACTCTCCAGTACTTCCCAAGTTGTAAAGGCAAAAGACACAGTCTAATACTTTTTGGTAAACACAGAAAGGAAAGGGCATACATACCTTTAGTGCTGTTACTTAAGAGGACAACCCATATTTTCAGAACCAGGTCCTTCCCCAGCAGGAAAGTCTCAAACTTGCGTAAAGACCTTGCATTGCACACACATTTTTCAGCACCCTCCATGTCCTGCCAAAGAATCAAGCCTTGGAGTTTCGACGCTGCAAGAATGGGAGAGTAGTTGCAAATGGAATGAGATATGAAGCAACTGTTGATGAAGGTTTCATTCTATTCTGTGAAAAGAAGAACAATCTGCTTCGAAGGCACATGTGCATATCACAAGCAAAAGTAAGACACCATCGAATCAACCTGGCCACCTAAGCATCATTTTTCCCTGCTCTGTATTAAGCAGGCAAAAATCACGAACGAATACAGAAAAGATGGTTTCTTCTCTTATTTACTGAACCAACTGCTTTCAGCTACTCTCCAGTTGTGAAATTTCAGAGGATGAGCAGACCTATTTGGCTAACTGGAATCTAGTAGAAGGGTATGAACTTTATAATTGACATAAACACAAGCAATGGAGCTCGACTGTAGGACAAATGCAAACAGGATAAGAAAAAGTGGCAATTAGCCCAAGTCTTGTGCAAGATAAAGAACATGAACTACACTCTAGTTGTTAATTGCATGATGTATACAGTTATTGAATTACTGGCTCCAGTAAAAATATAGCAACTAGATATTAGCTCTACATATGAACAGTATTACTGAACAGTTCAGCAGATTATGAAACTACAACTTATGTTTTATCTCCTGGTTTGGATGAACATGGTGAAAGAAAAAAGAACCACTAGCAAGGGAAACAATAACCAAGCTTCATATCTAATTTACAGAGCCAAGTAGTTTCAGTCATTGAAAAGGATCTCCAGTTGTCTTCTGATTTTTTTTTTTTTTTTTGTAAGGGTGAAAGTTTTATTAATTAAGAAAATAAAAACAATAAACCACCTCTTTTACAAGGCTTACACTCCAGTTGTTAGCTCCACAGGTTATTAGAATTATTGAATAGCTGAATCCAACAGAGGTCTAGCAGATTGATTATGGCAAAACATCAGAGCATAGCTCCAAAAGTCCATAACAGGCAAAGAAAAAAATGTGTAAAGGCCAAAGATCGGGAGGATGCAAAAAAAAAAATTGGACCATTTCTCGATTTATGCGTGTCATCCTTGCGCAGGGGCCATGCTAATCTTCTCTGTATCGTTCCAATTTTATCGGATGTCCCCGAAGGGACAGCACTATAAGTATCACATATCTTTATAAATGCTAGGTTCCAGCTGAAGACAAGTGATGTGGTATATTGTAAAGAGGAAGAAGGCTTAGTGTGGTTCTGTAAAAAGCAAAACAAATCCATTTCCAAGGAACAGATGCATATCATAAGCACAAGTAAGCGAACAATCGAATCAACCGGGACATATTAGCATCTTTTCTCCCTGGTCCCTATCAAGCAGGCAAAAACATGAATAAAGAAAATATGGCTTCTTCTCTAGTTTACCGAGCCAAATGCTTGCAGCCATTCTACAGTTGCGAATTTTCACAGGATGCGCAGTCCTATTTGGCTAACTGAAATCTAGTAGAAGGGTAGGAACTTGATAATTGACTTAAACACAAGCAATGCTCCACATGGAGACACAGGTATTGAACGATTGAACTACTTCAGCAGATTATGAGAGCATGACTAAATGAACTGATCACTTACAGTAACTAAGATCATCTCCGGATTTTACCTGCATGATGAATAGAGTTTATGGAATAACTTGCTCCAGTAGAAGTATGGCAACTAGATATTGCCTGCTGCTAAATCTAAGCAGCACTACCATTTCATACACAAATTATAACCTGGCTGCTGTGGGAGGAAGCAGAAGTACAAGGAGGGCAAAAAATTATCAATTTATGTGTGTCATCCTTGCGCAGGGTCATGCTAATCTTCTATGTATCGAGTATCGTTCCAATATTATGGGATGTCACCTAAGAGACAACACCTTCACTTTGCTGCACAAAAGATCGATGCTCTCAACAAGTGTGTAGAAAATCTCCACTGCCACAAGGTTGTAGCTTTAGGACTTATTCTATTCCCATATCCCCCAAATGAACGCTGGTTGGGAAGGTCTGTTTGGGACGAAATGGGCCAATAAGAATAACGTCCTAACATTATTTAAGCAACACCAATAAACTAATCATCGGAAAGGCTACCCTTAACCCTACTGTAATTGAAATATATAGAGCCAAAGCATATATATCCAGTAGAAAAAGGAACAAACCTCGTAGAAGGGCTGAACTGTACAAAACCATGATGCCCTTCCCATTCAGATAGACAGGGGAATTTCTGAAACTTGTAACTACAAAAACATAGGTGTCCAGTGAACAGTAAATCAATGAATCAAGATAAGAATAAAACACATTACAATCGCCAACGATCACTTCATTTCTCAAGCAGTGACACTCTTCGATTACCAACTTATTCCTATGCTTTAGGGGAAATGCCAAACTGGGTCGCTGCTCTATCTTGCATCAGAAGGCGATTGCTTGATTGGGCAAGAAGTGAGGTGAAACACACAAAAAAAAACCCAGGGCAACTTTTCTACCGGCATGGTGGATAAAGCACCCAGGTAGCCAAACGCATATTATACCGTTCCTTAGACAACATTGAAAGAAGAAGGAAGCAGAGAAGACCCAGAATTGGTTGCGTCGATCGGTTGCCGCCTTCTTCCAGGCTCCAACTTGAAGTTTTTTTTTTACCGCGCCTGAGGTTTGCCGCCCACTAGAAGGCCAAAAGCTTACCGCCTCGATGTCGAACGACGTCTCTATTCTAGACTGGGCTGACAGACAGGACTTTCGCATCATGTCCCGCCTAGCCCATTGTAATTCCGTTTGGGCCAAAAACCCACAGTTTATGTTGAAGAAAGACGATGAAATTCCTGGGATTCCTTCTCAAGGGGTTGTCAACTTGTCATTGTTGTTGGAGTCTATAGATCAATGAGCAGAAACTACAAAGAAAAACTGAAACATTTTGGTTATCAATCAATGATTTTGCTGTATCAAGTCTGAAGTTTTGGTTCCGACAAATATTCGAGTTCAATTTGCTTACTTATCATCACTATTGACTGCAGTTGTGAGAGAAGATAGAACCCATCTGAATGACATGAAAATAATACAATTTTACAAATACAACAGAGCCGCCATAATGGCTAGAAGTCAGTTACTAGCTACTGTTTGAACCTAACTGGGTGTAGGAGTTAGATTCGAGTAAGGGTTGGGGTCAAGAAGAAGTGCAAGTAACGGGTTTGATCAAGAAGTCACAGACTAGAGGGTTGTGAGAGAACCAGAGAAGGGATATTAGAGAGATAAGTTGTTATTGTAGAGAGAGAGTGGTGAAAAATGCGATCCCCTCACCCACCGGAGTAAATGCCATATTTATAGGCTACATGGTGGTGGGTGAGTGGTTGGATTACATGATGGGACCTAGGCTCTGATGTGACCACTGACACGCTGGGGATTTCGGCCATCCCCCTACCTAGGACATGTCAGGGGTGTACCTACGACTGTGTCACTGATCCCTATGCGGCCGACCCTCGGGAAGTGTGAAGCGAGCTCCTTATGGCTTCGAGGCTTACGACGCGCCTGAGCCTCCGCGCCTTGATACTTCACTCTCGCGCAGCTCGTGAGGGGCTCTGGATCCTCGCGCGTTGGTTCTCTCCACTCGCGCACGCATAGTGGCGCGCCCTTAGGCTTTCATGCGCGCCTTGGACCCTCGTGCGCGCCTTCTGTCGGCGCGTCCTGCCTTGCACAGCTAGGCCCGAGTCACATGCCCAACAATTGCCCCCCATCAGAGGGTGTTCTGAGAGCGCCCTCTGTTTAGGTCTTCGCTTGATTGACTCGGGCCTGGGCGCTGTTCTCGGGATTCTTCGCGTGCGCCTTGCCATTCCGTAGCCGCGCGAGATGCTCTGTCGTGGTTGCCTGATAGCGCGCGATCTCTGGGGGATCGTGCGCTCGGCCCTTGTGAGGTTCGAATCATCGACGGCGCGGTAATTGATCGAGCGTGATTATCGCAGTTGCGATTGTTCCTCGCGTGTTCCGTGGCTTGCGCGAGAGGCTCTGTTGTAGTTGCCTGATAGAGCGCGGATCTTGGGGTCCGAGATTCTGAATAGTGTGTGCGATCTTTCCGAGATTTTTCCCCTTTCTTCGCGATCTCCGCGAGAGATTTTTTCTTTTCCCCGCGGGTGTGCCATGCCCCCCAGGCGTTGTGCGTAACTAGTTACGTCAGCGGCTAGTACCCACTTGGGATAGGTGTCCACGTGTCCTTACCTGGTTGGTTCGTTTGGGCGGGCGAATTTTGAAATTCGAAACGTCTGACGGTTGGGATTTTCGAGGTTACTTTAACCCTTCGCCTTCCCTCTAATAACTATAAGTATCGGGCCGTTTGGGGAGTGGGATTCATTCTGCCTCATTCTTCACATCTGAGCTCAGCTCCTCCTCTCTCGTGCTCTGGTTTATCGCCGAGATTCCTCTCCTTCTTTTACAATCTTAAACCCCCAATTGTGTCTTGCCTATTGTCTTTTTTCTGCTGTCATGGACAACATCAACACCAACGTCGGCGAGGTTGAGATCGTACAAGACGAAGAAGGTAATATTTCCCCACTTTCCCGTATTTCTTCTGACCCGTCGCTGGAATTGGCGAATTCCGGCGGCGAGGATGGCGGTGGTTCCGGTGACGGCGGAGTTCCGTCGACGCCGTCAACCAGAGTCGACTCCGATCCTGATTTCGACCTCAGAGAGACGGAGGCCGATGAAGATGCAGTGGTGTCCGGGGGCGAGGGGCCTAGTACGCGGCCCCAAGGCGTTCTAATAATCAGGCGCGGTCACGGTGGGATGTCTGCAATCGCGGAGGGTGCTGGTACTGCTAGCGCGGCCGAGCGCGAGGGTTCTGATACGGAGTCGGCGCCGATAATCGCCGAGCCCGTCAACGTGGTGCGCGTAACTGAGGCGATGAGTCGCCTTGGTCCTCGTTGCATGGGCGCTGTCTACACCGTCCTTGATTGGGCGGAAATGTGGGGCGACCAGCCGGCTCCACATGACAACTTGTTGCGGGGACCCGACCATTCTTCAATCTACTCGCGCGAGGACGTTGAAGAAATCGTGCGCGGGTTGGGTTTGCCTCCGCACTGGGAGTACGCGGTGCCGTCTGTTAGGAGCACAGTTGGTAACTGCCCCCCAGGGTGGTTCGGGGTATACAGCGAGTATTGGGTGATGGGTTTCAAATTTCCCATCGACCCGCTGCTGTGTGCCCTATACAGGCGGCTCAACTGCTCGGTCGGGCGCCTCTCTCCGTCGATCATAATGCACGTCTCGTGCTTGCGCCTTGCTTGTAAGCGGCTTAACATCCAGCCCACGTACGGGCTGTTCCGCAAGTTTTACAAGATCAAGGAGCCCAGCAAGACGAGTGATTGCATGTCCATCAAGCGGCGCGATAACAGGCCTGATGGATTCGTCTACGGCTCCCCCAAGCTAAAGAAGACGTGGTTTGAGCGCTTCTTCTATGTTAAGCCAGTGGCGGGGGAGTGGGCTAGTGAGTACGTGGATGAGCCCACTGTGTGGAAGAAGGGTAGTACCCAGAAGTTTGAGTCGCGCGTTGGCGCGTATGACGGGCTTGATCGCGAATATCAAGCGTGTTTGGATCAGAAGATGAACCTTTATACGCGCGGAGTTCGCGAGGCCATTTTGCAAGAGCTTTTCGCTGATGGTTAGTTGTTTTCCTTTCCCTTTGCATTCTGTCACATTTAACCGGTTTCTTACGATATTTTGGTGCAGGTGTCAATTTCGCCGACCTCGCGAGCATGATGTCGGTGGACAACGTTGCCAAGGCGCCCCGAGCCTCTCGTAAGGGGAAGAAGAAGCAGAAAGATGGGGCGCAGAGTAGTAACGCGCCAGCTGCCAGCGCCAAAAAGAAGGACCGGGGGCAGCCCAGCAGTGCTCCCGCGAGTGGCGGGAAGAGGAAGGAGTCGGCGTCGGAGAGGGAGCCGGCTGATGGGAACCCGAAGAAGGTTGCGCGGGTCGTGGAGCCAGAGGCGCGGGTCGTTACCGTGTCGGAGGCGCGCATGCAAGAGGCGCGCCAGCATCCTCTGGTCATCGTCGATCCCGAGGAGCGGGTGGGCAACTCCCCGCGTCCAGAAGGGGTGGTAGCTCCCAGCAGCTCTGGGGCCTCTGGGGCCGCTGGGCAACGGAAGCTGACTGACATGTTGGGGGGCGTCCCCGGGGTTGACTATTACCGCGACGTGCGGCTGCACACCGGCGCGGCGTGTAATAGTCAGACCGCGCAGGCTGCTTTGCGGGCAGTTGGGCCTGTACTCAGCATCCCACCCCGATTCGAGAAGTCGGATCCTCTTGTGGACCTGGCTCAGATCCATTGGGCGGTAAGGCTATTCTGTTCCCGCTCACGATTCTTTTGTTTTCTTTTCCTCCTCTTTCTTTTCCTCCTCCTTTTTTTTCTAAAGTTGTAAAGTGCCGTTTGTGCAGGGTTTGCTGGCGACTTACCGCGCCCAGCAGGATCGCGCTTCCACGCGCGCGAGGCTGAAGACGGACGAGTCTCGGATCGTGCAGCTGGAAGGGAAGCTCGCCGGCGCGGAGAGCCGTGCGGAAAAGGCCACCCACGAGGCCAACAAGGCCCTGACTGAGCTGGGCGTATGGCAAAGCCGGCTTGAGGCTGCTGTGGAGGCTGCCAAGGAGCGCGTCCGGACTGAGGAGCGCGACACCATTAGGGCGCAGCTGCAAACTCAGTTCGCTGAGGAGAAGAAGAAGTTGGCGGAGGATTTTGAAGGAAAGCTGAAGGAGGCCCGCGAGGACTTCCAGAAGGAGAAGAATGACTTGGTCCAACTCCACAATGTGGCGAAGGCTGAGGCGGTGCGTGAGGCTCGGGTCGCGGCAATTGGCCAATATAAGTCGTCCCAGCCTTTCGGGAGGATTATGGCGGACGCCATGACGAAGGCTGTGATCGCGGTTGGGAAGAAGGTCCGACCTGAGAACCCCGGCATCAGTTGGGATACCCGCGCGATGGTCGAGCACGTCAAGGGGTGGATAAGTCAGAACAAGTCCTTGTCCGAGTCGGAGTCGGAGGATGACGAGGAAAAGGAGGGAGAGAGCGCGAATGAGGAGGACGCGGGCAAAGAGGGCTCCGGTGGCACCAGGGATGATGGGCAGGCCGTCATAGCGCGGTCCCAGACTGATGAAGGAGGGCAAGAGTAGTGGGTTGGCGCGCTTGTCAATTGTTCCTCTTTGTTTAATTGTTCCTCTTTGTTTATTTGCTTTTGCTGGCGCTATGCGCGTAGATGTTGCTTTTCCTTGTTCCCCCTTGTC